CAGAGGACAACCTGGGGTATAGTCTTCACCTTGCACTCTGAGACAGGTCTGCCTTGGGTTCACTACTGTGTATTCAGGCTAGTTGCCTGCAAGCTTCCAGTTCTGTTTCCTCCTCCTCAGTCAGCAGGGGTGCCCTGGGGTCCCTGGGATTCTAGAAGCCTTCCTGCTGTGGCCGACTTTTCTGTGGGTTCTGGGAACCAAACTCGCCATCAGGCTTGTACAGAAGGCACTGATCCATCCCCCAACCCAGTCACCTCTCACTGGGCTGCTCTTCAGCCTCCTGACTGACCTTGTCTTACTCATTTTGGACTCTACCATCCATTTACCTCTCAGCAGTGACCTTAAAAATATGCCATATGGAAGCAAATCCCCGACATCTCACTCTCCCTGAATATTTCAGTATGGCTCTTTATCACATAAAGACGATCCTAAAAGTATTTATTCTTGGAAATTTTAAACATGTTAAAAACTAGAGAGACTTCTATGATAAACTTCCATATATCCATCCCTTCCACCACTGATGCTTGGCCAATCCTGTGTTTTTAACAGCTTCACTCCCAGTTATTTTGAAGCAAATCTTAGCTATCATATTACTTTATCCATAAATCTTTGAGTATCTCTAACACACAAGGGCACCACGTTAAAAGGGTGGAGGTGGTGGAGAGATGGCTCAATAGTTAAGAGCATGGCTGCTCCTCTAGAAGACTCAGGTTCAGTTCTCAGCACCCACATGATGGCTTATCGTTCCAAGGGCTCCAGTGCCCTCTCCTGGCCTGTGAAGGCACTGCACACATGTGATGCACTTAAAGGGAAAAAAGGTGGATGCTCCTGATGAATGGCGCCTGAGATTGTCCTCTGACCTCTCTGCGCACACACGTGCATGTCCACTTGTGTGCACACACAAACGCATACATATACACCTGCAAAATAAATAACCATGTTACATAATGAATAATACTACCGTAGCCATACCCAGTTCTTAATTTCTTAGTGTTATCAAATACCCTGTCAACGTTTCAGTTTTCTCATTTGCAGATGCTTAAAACAGCCTGTATAAGTCAAGATTCAAATAATACCATCAATCCCAATAGGCTTATATGTTTCATAAGTGTCTTTCAATTTGAAAAAAAATTGAGACGAGGTCTTAATCTGTAGCCCAGACTGGACTACTCTATATAACCAGGCTAGAATTCACTCTACAGAACCTGGGCAAATCTCTCCTGCCTCATCCTGCCACACACTGAGATTATAGGCATCATGATTCATGCCTGAATCAAAGCCAGGGTCTGCATATGCTTGGTAGGCATTCTCCTCCGAGCTAAATTCTCAGCTGTTGATCTTTAATATCAGTTCCTTTAATGGAATATTTCTTGGGCCAGCTGTTTGCAGAATACTTTTTCAGAGTAACACTGAGATTGCCTGTTTTGAAGCCCTGTGGTGCACTGCCAGCCCAGCTCATACCCAGCCCAACTCACACTCAGCCCGGCCTCACCCCTAGCCAGGCTCACACCTAGCCTTTTCCATGGGGCTGAAGGTTTAAGCGTAAGTCCTTACCACACACACAGCCAGCACCCTCACCTGCCGAGTCACCTCCCCGGACCACTCAGTTTGAAATGAGAGAGATCTTGTAGTTATGGACAGCCAATCTGGCTTCTTAGGAAACCTCTCTTCCTCTTAGGGCATACCCACCAAGCATCTTTCCAACAGATTGTCTGCTAGGAGTGTGTATAGAGTTTGACAGAGCAAACACCTCAAGGAATGTGAGTGGTATTTAGGAAAGCTCTGGTGATGAGGAGAACGCTGACTGACCCCAGGGGTGATTTATAAGGTGATGGGTTGTGTAGTGAGTGAGTACTGTACCATGGTACCGTGAGGTTCTGAGGAGGATGCAAGCACATGGGAACACTAGATTTACCAAATGCTGTCTTCTTTGTAGGATGGTCCAAGACATAGAGTCAGCGGATGTCTCTTCCTTGTGTCCGAAAGAACCTGGAGGTCTGTATGGTTCAGTGGAATGTGGGTGGATATAAAGAAAGTAGCCGGCTAGAAAGCTGCTCACTTTTGACTTAATCAAAAAACTTGGGCCGGGCGGTGGTGGCGCACGCCTTTAATCCCAGCACTCGGGAGGCAGAGGCAGGCGGATCTTTGTGAGTTCAAGGCCAGCCTGGTCTCCAAAGGGAGTTCCAGGAAAGGCGCAAAGCTACACAGAGAAACCCTGTCTCGAAAAACAAAACAAAACAAAACAAAAACAAACAAACAAACAAACAAAAAAAAACTTGGACGCTCCAGGGACCCAGGGCCTTCCCTTCTTTTTGCCAGTGTCCCTACAACTCCATGTCATATCTGACATCTCGCCATATGCCCCCCTCATCCTAGTAACCGCCTGTATTTTGTGCCTGTGCCTTCTCTTCACAGAACACCCGGTAGTGTTTGAAGTTCCGGTGGCTACCAAGGGCCATGTGGTCCTGCCATGCTTCCCCAGCTCCGCCTGGGCATCCTGTGTCTGGCACCAGCCGAATGGAGTAACGGCACTCACGCCCCGAAGGGATGGGCTAGAGGTGGTGGTGACCCCAGGGGCCATGGGTGCTTACGCTTGTGAGTGTCAGGAGGGTGGCGCGGCCCGGGTGGTGGCTGCTTACAGCCTGGTGTGGGGCAGCCAGCAGGGGCCTTCAAACCGGGCCCACACGGTGGTGGGGGCTGGGCTGGTTGGCTTTTGCCTGGGGGCTCTTGCAGCATCCCTCACTCTCCTCCTGATCGGTCGCCGTCAGCAGCGGCGGCGACAGAGGGAACTTCTGGCTAGAGACAAGGTGGGCTTAGACCTGGGGGCTCCACCTTCTGGGACCACCAGCTACAGCCAAGACCCTCCCTCCCCTTCCCCGGAAGATGAACGGCTGCCCCTGGCCCTGGCCAAGAGGGGCAGCGGTTTTGGTGGTTTCCCTCCACCCTTTCTGCTAGACTCTTGCTCGAGCCCAGCCCATATCCGGCTCACGGGGGCTCCTCTAGCCACATGTGACGAGACATCCATCTAGAGCCAGGAGAATGACTGCCAGCCCGTGAGCAATCACTGGAACTAGCAGCTGCCAAGACCAGGGTGACTGGACCTGGGAGATGATCATGACGGCTCTTGGAGTCTGTGTGATCACCTGGACAGCGGTGTCTGTCTGTCCTCTAGACCTGGATGAGCTGGGGGCCAGACCTTTGCCTGATTCCTGATTCCTATGAGAGGTCAACCCTTGTGACCCTTCCGCCACGGCCTCCTATCTTGGGCCCATCAGTTGTGGCGTGGAGCAAGGACATAGCTCTGACTTGCTTTAGGATGGGCCCCGGACAGAAGGAAGCACCACAGAGGTAGTTGGTGGGGGTCGGTGTGCGCTGCATCCTTGTGGTGGCTGTATGATTTCCCAGTTTGCTGACTCTGGGGAGTGCATGATCCCCTGAGCGCCTTGAGATCTCTCCCACCTCACTTTCCCTTTGTTCCTGGAAGAGTGTGTGTCTATACACTGGTGTGCCTAGAAGACCTGTCCATATGTGCATGAATGGCAGGGCTGGTGCCTAGGTGCTTTCTGGGGGAAGGAGGGCAAGGTTGGAATGGGGGACATTGCCCATACAACTTCACCCTCCGTAGTCAGTGAGGGAAACCACCCGCTCCCCCCGCCCCCATCACCCCACAGAGCTTCTCTGACTTTGAGCAAAGTTCCCAAAGTGACCTTCTGGGTGGAAAGGGCAGCAGGACATGTGGCCCCCACCCTCTTCCTTGTCTTTCCTCTCTGGCTGCCACCACTGCCATGCCGCCGCTGCGCTTTCCCTGGCTAGTGTGGAGGCCGAGGTCTCTCTCCTTGGCTCCCATTTAAGACGAACTTCACAACGTTCTAACTATTGTGGGATGACAAACGGAGCCCGGAAATGTGTGTAGGGAATACAAGCTGGTTAAAGGTAGATTCGCCTCAGTGACTTTCACCCTTGCCCTAAAATAGGAGTCCCCCCCCCAACTGGGGCTCACGGACTCCTAGAAATTGTATGCAAAATGTCTGTCCATGTGTGTCTATTTCTTGGGATGTAATGGCTTTCATCAGAGCGAAAGGCCTTAATGAGGTTAAAGGACCACGGCCCATCGTCGCCACATGGGCCACGTGGAGGAGGTGCTGCTCCGTGCCAGTTCCTTCCTGCCCCGCTGCCTGTGGCCGGTCCCTGGACGCGTTGCTGCTGGAGATCCAGCATCTCTCCAGTTGTTGGAAGCTAGACTCTGCACGTGCTTGAAGACACCGTCACCTCGTTTCTTGCTTTGTAGTCCCCGTGTGCCCTGCTTCTGCTCAGTCCCGGTCTTGGCCTGTGAACGTGCCTCGTCCATCCCTGGTGGGGGCCTTGGACTCCATTGGTGACGCAGCCCTTTCCAGTTGATGTTTTCTGCTCCACTTGTCTTGACAGCAGCCTGTGAACTACTCAAGAGTCCCCTTGGGTTTGGCGTTATCAGTGGCTTTGTGTGGGATCTTTGGCACGTACTCTAACATAGGGACGTTGGTTTATTCATCTGTAAAGTGGGGAAATACCTACCTCAGGGTTGCTGCAAGGACCAAACGAGGAAATGTATAAACAATAAAGCATTCCCTATACCAGTAGATGTTGTTATTGGAACTATTGCTTTATTACACCAGCAGAGCTTAACCACGTGACCACCATGACAGGTGCAGTCACTGAGAGCCCCATGCAGTGGAAGGTGGACCATCCTTCCACAGACATCTGTTCTTGGATCATCTCTGAATGGGTCTTAACCACTCATGTCTAGGCTTTAGTCAGACCTGTGATTTATTTTTTAAAAAATCATGTGTATATGTGTGTGTCAGTACATGTATGTGTGAGTGCAGGTACCTCCAGCGGCCAGAAGAGGGCGTTGGATCCCTGGAGCTAAAGTTACAGGCAGTTGTGAGGTGCTTGATGTGGGTGCTGGGAACTGAACTCAGGCCTTCTGAAAGAAAAGCACATGCTTTAACTGCTGAGGCGTCTTTCCAGCCCTCGTAAACATTTTGAGTGGTGTCGATAGCCAAAGCTTCCTTCTGCTGGACCAGGGCCCAGACATAATCATTGCTTTTCTGTGGAAGGGACAAATTTACCAAGTCTTTGTGCTATTCCATTTTCAAGATGGAACTGGATTTTCCTTCAGAATAATGGAGATTGGGCACACACATAGAATCCAGCTAAGGATGAGATGCTGAAGTAAGGCTTTTTTTTGTTGTTGTTGTTGTTTTTTTGTTTTTTGTTTTGTTTTGTTGTTTGTTTGTTTTTGGCTCAGGCTGACCTTGACTTCACTATGTACCCCAAACTGGCCCAGAACTTGTGATTCTCCTGCTTCAGTTCCCCAAAGTCTTGGGACTGACTACAGGTACACAGTGGTATGCCTGCCTTTGAGAAGGTGAAGTAAAACAAGAAATTCATGGCTCACTTAGGAGAGAAGACAGGTAGGACACTTTCAGGCCTGCAGAAAGGACTTCAGGAGTGAGGTGCCAATTCTGGGATCAGGATTCTGTGTTAGAGGATGTCCCTCTGTCTACTGTTTGTCACGTCTCCTTGTTCTGCCTGACTTCTTCCTCTCCAGCTGTAAACGGTCCACTTACAGAGGTAGAAAAGATGGCTGCAGCTCAGAGAACTCAATGGGTAAAGGCACCTGCTGCCACACTGACTCTCCAGAACCCACAAGGTGGGAGAGAACTGGCTCAGGTTGTCCTCTGACCTCTACATGCATGCTTTGGCACATGTGTGCATGGCGCACACATGCATACATACACAAAATAAACGTTTTTATTTATTTTTATTTTTTAATTTAATTTAATTTTTAAGAAAGATTTACTTATTTATTGTATATACAGTGTTCTGTCTGCATGTGTCCCTGCAGGCCAGAAGAGGGCACCAGATCTCATTACAGATGGTTGTGAGCCACCATATGGTTGCTGGGAATTGAACTCAGGACCTCAGGAAGAACAGCCAGTGCTCTTAACTGCTGAGCCATCTCTCTAGCCCAAAAATAAATGTTTTTAAAAAGGAAAGAAAAGATAAAGATGGCTGCTTTCACATTCTTTCAGCTACAGATCCCAGATGCCAAAGTACTTCTTCAGCTGCAAACCAAGAGTGACAAGGAAGTGCTGCTTATATCACGTGACTACAGTGAACCAATGATTGTGTTCAAGGGAATGGGATGCTGTGATCGGCCTCAGTCACATGCATGTCCAAGGAGGGAAAAATTAAATTTTCAGAAGAACGGCCATAAGGAAGTTGGATAGCAAAAACAAAAAAGTTGTAGTTTACTAAAGCCATTTTAGATGCAGGCAGTGATCTTTAAAAATTAAATCTGAGCATATTCCTTCCAAATGAAGTTTTTTTTAATGATTTCTTATGACACTTAGGAGAAATTCCAAAGTCTTTCTTCTAATTTAGAGTCCTACAGGTTGGGATACTTATTCACTTAACCAAGCTGTTTTCTTTTTCCTTCCCTCTCACACAAGGGAACCACCATACTAGCCTGTGTTAGTCAGGGTCCTCTAGAGTCACAGAACTTACGGAATGAATCTCTCTATACAAAAGGAATTTATTGGAGTGACTTATAGGCTGCAGTCCAACTAATCCAACAATGGCTGGCTGTTCATGGAAAGTCCAAGAATCTAGTAGTTGTTCAGTCTCATGGGGCTGGAGGTCTCATGGTCTTCTGTTTGTACTGGAGGAAGGAGGTTCCAATGCCAGTGAAGGAATGGATGTGCTAGCAAGGTGAGGACAAGCAGACAAAGAGCAAAGCCTTCCCTCTTCCATGTCCTTCTACAGGCTGCCAGCAGAAGGTGTGGCCCAGATCAAAGGTCTGTCTTCCCATCTCAAGATCTGGATCAGAGGTATGTCTTCCTCCCTCGAAGGTCCAGACTAGAAGTAGATTCACCTACTTCAAACCAAGTAGAAAATCTCCCACCGGCATGCCCTCCATTTGTGGCTTGTAGTTCATTCTAGATCTAGTCAAGGTGACAACCAAGACTAGCCATCACACAGCCCTCATTCACATTTGTGGACACATTAAGCTTTTCCTTCCTTACGGCAATTAAGCTCCTTATTCTTGGCAAGCCTGGCTCCTTCTAGCTATTTAGCTTTCGTCTTGAATATCACTTCCAGAGTGAGGCCCACCCACCTTGGCCACCCAGTACAGATGCCGTGTGCTTGTCTGTTGTTGGGATAAAAGACCTTGACCAAAAGCAACGTATGGGAGGAAGGGTTTGTTGGGGATGCAGTCCACTGTGGGGAGGAAAGCAAGACAGCAAGAGAGGAAGGACAGCCTGGCAGTCAGGAAGCAGAGGGACCGTGTTTCATCCCCACAGAGGAAACATGGCGGAGAGGACAGGAAGTGGGGCTAGGTGATAAAACCTCAAAGCTGGTCCCCAGTGATTAACTTCCTCCAACAGGTTCCATAACCTTTTCGAACAGCACCCCCAGCCGGGACCAAGTATTCAAACACATGAGCCTGTGAGAGGCATTTCCTAGTCAAACCGCAACACTACCTACACATCCTTCTTGACACAGCATTTACCTTTTTTTTTTTTTTTGCTTGTTTATTCTGTTTGAGTTATTTCCCTTCTTACCAAACTTTACTCTTCATATCAGTCCAAACCATAGCTGTTTAGTATAGTCCTAACTCTGTAGGGCCTAAGAAGTACCCTACAGAGACCTCAAAAAGTATTTATTGAATGAGACAATATGGCTGTTGCTGACCTGGCTCACTGAGGACTGGGAAGAACTAGTGGGTATCCCTGCAGGAGCCCAGATAGCTCCAGTTGCCTTGGTTCTACAGTACTGAGTCATGGCCCCTGCGAGCTTCTGCCTCTCAGGCTGACTGAATTAATTTTTCTGTTGCTGTGATAAAACACCACAACCAAAAGCAATTTACAGGGAAAAAAAAAGAAAGATTTTGTTTTGGCTGTGTTTCCAGAGGGATAAAAGTCCATCATGGTAAGAAAGCATGACTGTAGGCGGCAGGCATGGCCAAGGCAGCAGGAAGCTGAGACCTCGTCCTCAACCACAAGCACAAAGTTGGGAGAGTGACTTGCAAGTCGGGTAAGGCTGTACAGTCTTGAAGCCCCACCCCCTAGCTTCCTACACACTTCCTACAGCAAGACCTCACATCCTAAGCCTCCCCACACAGCACCCCCAACTAGGGTCTAACGTGCTCATGTATCTGAGCCTATGGAGTTCACAGTCAAACCACCACACAGACACTCGTCAACAGGTGGCTTTCTGGTGTTTCCCATTTAGAGCTCCAACAACCTCTTTCTGTCTTGGGTTCTGAACTCCATAATTTGCACTTGGTTATTTGAAGCTGGGTCTTTCCTGCTCTTCCTTTCAGATCAAAGAAATTAGACCATTTATCTGAGGCACATTATTTTTTCCAAGAATAAATGTCCTAAATAAGAATAGTTGCTTTAACTAAAAATAAAGATAAACGCCCTTACATATACTAATTTGTATGTATGGTATAATAAACATTTTTTCTATTGGCAAAATTATTAGGGCCACTCCACATAGTTAAAAGGGGGGTTTATTTTGTGGGGTAACTTACAAGGGAAGGGATAGGTTACAGGGTCTGGGAAAGGTGTAGTGCAGTCCGGCGGTGTTCTCTGGAGAACTCTACTCGGTCTACCTCCAGCGTCCAGGGTCCAGGAACCAAGAGAGCCTGCGCATCCGGATCTCAGGTCTTCAGGGTCCTCTCTTGGCCCTGCCTTGTAGGCGTGACAGTTACTGAAGCCTCAGTGGGATTGGAACTTCCAGATCAAAGCTGGAATGGCTACCCACTACATTTTTCATACTAAACTCAACCCTAGAAAGACTGGGCTAATTATTTAGTTTTAGCCAGCGAAACAGGTCAGAGGAGAAGTCCTCTAAAGATCGGTGTTATCTTCTAAGGACTAGTTTCAGGTCTCACAGATTCTGAAGCCTGTGCAGTGATGTATTGCTAAAAATTTTCATATTAGCATTAATTATAAGACTAACAGTACAATGTTACAATGACTCAATGAGAAATATTTTTGGTTAAATATGACTCAATGTTGGTATGAAAACATGTCTGCAACATTGGTTAGTGAAAAAGAGTCAATAACGAGGGAGAGGAATTCACCCCAGAGTGCTGGGAGCCAGCCTAGCGCTCATGTTCTGCGAGTTCTGTCGAGCTGGGAACCGTTCATAGAACATCAAGACTGGATAAAGACACTCCATACTAATGACAGATCAATAGGAGAGCAGGCGCTGTCTACAACCACATCTAAACACAGGCACAAACAAGAATACCGTCCAAACCACAGAAGTCAGCATGCACCCACCTGTCTGCTGTGGAATATTATTTTAACTAGGCAAAGATGTGCTATATTCGTTTATGCTGCGGAATATTATTTTAACTGTGTAAAGGTGTGTTACTTTATGCTGCATTTATTTAATGATGTGAGGATGTGTTACGTTGCCTGTCTGATTGGTCTAATAAAAACTGAATGGCCAATAGCTAGGCAGGAGAGGGATAGGCGGGGCTGGCAGGCAGAGAGAATGAGTAGGAGAAGAAATCTAGGCTCAAGAGAGAAGGAGCAGAGAAGGAGGGAGAAAGAGA